CAGGGACAGTGTTCAACAACAGCACAAACTTCACCAATGACTTACCCGAAGACAACGACAACGAAGTCCAGTACGTTCCATGGGTTGCGCAGGTAGGACAGACGGTGATGGAAGAATCCAAACGCAATGATCTTCAAAACCATCTCCAGAGTGTAGAGAGAAGCAAATAGCAGCCTATAACAACACGCGACGGCAGGAAATAACCCTATTGTACATATATATGACATCGATATGCATTCTCGGAGACCCCCTTGACTTAGGCTTCAGCCGTTGGAGAATCCCTCAAATAATAATAATAATATAAGAAATTTGAAATTCGGATGTTGAGCCATAAATAAATGAAGAAAGGAAAAGGACATATGGATACAGTAGTGGATATAGTATCCAGTTACAGTGATGGAGAGTTACTCTAAACTCGTATCCATGTGTCCTTTTCCTTTCTTCAAATAATTATAAGAAATGGTTGAAGAATGTGTACCATTGCCATATCAACCTATAACAACACGCGGCAGGAAATGGTTGAAGGATGTGTACCATTGCCGCCACTGCAGATGTTACAGCATGCGCCTAACTCTAGCTGTAGCTTACTGAAGCGACAGTGGCCCGCAATAGCCCGGCCAATAAGGTGCCAGTTCAGTGGCGGATCCAGGGGGGGGGGGGGGGGGGGGCAGGGGGCCTGCCCCCCCCCTTTGAAAATTTCGACCTTGGTCTAGGATTACAGTACAAGTCAGTAGACTGTAGAATGAGCCCTCGAAATGACTTGGCGTGTCACACACTATTATAATAATAATAAATAATATATATGCACTAGTCAGCACGCTGTGTACAACTACTGTACGCACTGCGGCCTGAGGACACGGCCGCACTTCAAACATGTGAAAAACGTGCCAAAAATGCAGGGCCTGGTACAATGTGCAGCTAGTACTATAGTGCAGCGATCGCGTTGGGCTGAAATCCTGTACGGTGCACGGTGCTGTCGGCTTCGCCCTTCCTTTTTCTTTTTCACTTGTCAGAAACTAAACGCTCTCTCTCTCTCTCTCTACTTCGCGTGTAGCCAACGGGTTACCTTCAGATATGCGATGAAGAGGAAAGGGTCTGACATCAGGTCGTTCTTCAGTGGACCGGTAGATAAGAGAGCTCGCGTTGAAGAGCCGTCCAAAGGTCCGTCGCAGCTGCTGCCGTGTGGAAATGTTCCTGCACTTGCGACATTATCCGAACCTGCTCCTGAATGTGAAGTCATTTCAAGTCATTCCTCCAGTGACTGAGTTCTCTGCCTGGATCTCCAGTTTCGCACGCCAAGCCCACTGAGAGTATTAGCACTGTTCCAGCGATGGAATATTACATGTATATTTGTGGTAACTTTGTAACATACCTGCATACCTGCTAGTAGTAGTAGAGTAGTGTCGTCCTAATGCCCGAGTTACACCACAGCTTGACAACACTTCCAGTCCAGTTTGAAAATGTCGTGAGAATGGAAAACAGCAGCTCTTCACAACTTCAGGACTTTGTCGTTGTTGTTTTGTTTTGTTTGGGGAGGGGGGGGGGGGGGGCAGATACCTTGGGCCCCCTCTTCGGCCAAATCCTGGATCCGCCACTGCAGTTGGTTATGGCCTATGGCTTTCGCACAATTATGCAGGGACGTAGCTCGCAGATCATACATGCATGGCTCGTGAACACTTGTATGGCTCATGAATACATACATGGCTTGCGAATGCTCGGCTTCAAGGCTAGAACTTACTCAGCTAATTCGTTGCCATTGTTCATGGCCAGAAGTACACAGTTGATCAAGATGGTCAGGATGATCAGGTAGTCGAAGAATCTAGAATTCAACTTGGTCAAGGAACACAATCATGTTACCGGCCCCACTTGCTTCCTCTAGGGCAACACGGACTTGAACTACGGTGCTGCTCAATGAAATATGATCGTGTGAGTCAAGAAAGCGTCGGGTGCTGTGCAGCCCTAGACCTGCGCAGCACCGGGGTGTCCACTGCTGCAGGGTGCACACTAACTGTTAGACTCACGCAATCGGATTTCATTCAGCAGCCACTGTACTAGAACTTCTACTAAGAACATAATTATTTTCAACATAATTATTTTCACCACACAAGCACACACAAGACTGAACTGTAGTTACACCAAATTCAATAGAGGGGGGGGTTGCAATAAAACTTTTCGTTCCGTGAAAGTTATCGATAATGCCGGATGGCTGCTTGCCGAAGGCAGACCGTATGGTGTAATAGTAGAATCAAGCCACTCTACACGCAGGAGGCTATTAGAGGAGGCTATTAGACACGAGTGAATTACAGCTGTCTTAACTGTTAAGAGGATACTCGTTGGTAGCGAGATGGATGGTGAACCGGCGGAATCGGTTCTCAATGGAGAAGTAGTGTAGCGACTTGGCCTTGCTGAACGCCACCAAATATGGCGATCCCATACGCTTGGACGTCAAGAACACATTCTGCAGTGACCATAGCAAAATGATTCCCCTCTCACTTCAAGAATGAACTCGGATGGAAAGCCAAGGATAAATTTGTAGGAAAGAAAAAGGACCAGAGAACTACAAGTTACGCCATAATGTCCACTAACACTGGTGCTGTTAGTGGACATTATAGCGTAACTTGTAGTTCCTTGGTCCTTTTTCTTTCCTTTAACTTGAACTGAAATTTATGAATGACCTTTGAGGAATAAGATCTTGGTGTTTATTCTGCAAGTCCAGGACATGCTGCTATACAATACAGGACTGGCGGAAGCAGGGTTTGATTGGTCTGGTAGTATCATCCATCGCCTTTCATACAGTTTGTGTGTGATATGACGGGTACAGATGACCTCCCGAGTGGGAAACATGTGTTGGTGGTTAAACTGTTGCTCCGGTGATAACCTGACCAATCGGACTGGTTCCGGCGGGCCTACAATGCCCTCTCTCTCTCGTTTCCTTTTGTCCAGTATGGTTACTATTGCATTCACTTGTTCTTGGGGTGAGCCACGGGAAAGCTGGCATATAAACAGGGTTGTGAGCCCGCCTCTCTCGGCACCAACAGTACAGCTCGCTCGACGCGGCTCTACTGTGTGAAGAGGACCCGGACATTGATCCGGTGAGCTGCATTGTGGGGATTTTGCAGTCAGATGTGCGGCCACAGGGGGGGGGGGGGGGGGGCTTTACCCGGCAAACTCTCGCTTTGCAGTCAAGAGCAATACTAGTACACAGTGTACTATCGGGGCGCCCTCTTCTCTCTCCCAACCCCCCCCCCCCCCCCCATCTCTCTCTCTCTCTCTCAGTACATATCATAGTATGCGCTCATGGGGTGGGAAACAGTTGCCAAGGAGACATCAGCACAGGAACCGGAGCAAGGGATGTGCATTACTGTCTGTCCATACAGAGCCGACGCTATGCGGAACCGTGACCGACATATCATCGACCAGTCCGTCCGCAACCCACGCAAACGTTTGCGTCTAGGCACACTCGCTGCCACAGGGGGTGGTACGCTGAAGTGGCCCTCTTCACACTGAATTCCGACTACAGTCTATTAGTACATGACATGTACACAATGATGTCTGATGTCGTGATGATTCCATCACTGTCTACTGCACTACTGCCACTACTGGTATGCATTCTTGTTGGGCAGACACTGTCATCCTAGTCACAGTGTCACTGATTCATGTACAATCTAGTTCTGTGCTGTGAGTGTTTCCTGTGCGCACACCATCTGTTGTTGCGGTAGATTACCCTGTCCAGCAAACCTCACATCATGCCGACATACATGTACAATGTCATGCACATCAACGTTACATAACAACAATCAGTCACAGGGTACCATAACGAGTTATGTAGGCTAAAGGTATTAGTACCTCCTTTCAACTTATTCAAGCTACTTCTGTGAATCTGTATCTGGCCAGGATGGCTGACGTTTCGTTTGCGTTTGCATGAAATCACTCTCCATTATATTGGCAGTGAACAAACACGCAAGGATGCACACGCACTCTGATGCGCCCTCTGACAAACCACTCCACGTGCCGAACGATTAAACATACGCCCTTCGCCAAAGCTGCGAGACACAATGAATACTGTCTGATGGCAGGTCCGACATTGTCAGGCCTTCCCTTCATTCACTTACCTCTTCATACTTGGGGTCTTCGAAAAACACGCCCTTTTGAAAGTAGTTCACAAAGGACCTCCAGCGGCCACCGTCTCCGTTCGTGGTGTCCCTTCGACCCAGAAAGCTGCTGAGTCGTCGCTTCCTCAGTTGTTTAGCAGCTGGTCGACCCAGTGGGTGCTGCTCAACGTCGAGCTTCGTCATCGGAACATCTAATGAACAGAGCTTGGCTTCGTCATGTTGGTCACTGGACCCGAGGCCCGCTTGAGAACGCGGGTCGGAGGACACTAGCGGCGAACACAAGGTCACTCCTACTGAGCTCTCATTACTCGCCTTGGCACACGCTGCCTGCCCAGCCGCGCTAGCAGCGACCGAACTGCTGCTGGCATCTTCAACAGGAGCGCCGGCTTGCGGACGAGCATTACGGGATCTGACGATGCTATGCAGAACCGTGACCGACATATTATCGTCGACCAGTCCGCAACCCACGCTAACGGTTTGCGTCTAGGCACGCTCGCTGCCGCAGGGGTGGTGCGCTGAAGTGGCTCTTCAAGCCATTTCTCGCCCAGCGCAGCCCGCAACGAACGCCACTTGTAAGCAATAGCCAGACCACAGAGTAATTCTATAGCTGGCCTGGAAACTTGCTAAGTCACAAGTGTCGACTCAAAGTCGTAGGAACTCTTCAGTCGACCATCCTCACTGAAGAAAGGATACCGTAAAATCTATTTCGCTCTTGCTTCAAATATTCTCAGTGCTCCAGTGTTGCGGACTAGCACACGAGATATTCTTCAACCTCTTGCTGCGTGCTTGTGACGGACAATCCAAACAGCCCGAAGGTTCGTTTCAACGTTTGTAGCATTCCGACAACACTCAGAAATCAGAACATCAGCGAACTATCTTGCGTTATGCTAAAATAGTTCAGATTTTGATGGCAAGTGTCAATGCAAGGATCATCCAGAGATCGAGAAGGCGTCGCAATGAATTCGCAGTTATTTTTTTACGTGTAGGTCTACGATCGGATCATGCATTCCGTGTGACTTGTCACCATGCCGTGCATCACTGCATGGCTTGTGTCAGACTCTCACTCAGTCTCAGACTGCAGACAGTCAGTGCAGAGGCAGAGGCGCAGTGCAGTGGCTGTCCTGTACTGACAATCTGTAGTGTAGAGTCTACCACTACTACCAGTACCTACGTACAGACAGTCATGGTCCGACTCTTGCACACTTACAAAGTCTTTCACAGATGATCGTCATCATGGTCATGCAGTCAGACTCATTCAGCTGATTCACGGCAGTCTGCACTGACGTCGGTACTCGACGAGTGCATGCGTCGCGCTACCCCAGGACCGGTAGTCAAGCGTGGATCTGGTGTGAAGCAGCTGCCAAATGGTGGCAAGTCACGTTCGTTCCTGACGCTGACGTGACAGTGGCAGCTGGCAAGTCTTTTCTTGGTCACATGTCAGCTAGCTAGCGCTATGCACGACGTCTCCACTCCAGACTCCATGCAGGATCATACCGTTCACGCTAAATCCGACGGTACTCGTACCCAACTCACAAAATGCCGTCGTCGGTTTGGTATCGTTTCGACGATAGAAAGCTCTCCGGGAGAACGAAACGGCAAGATTACAACTTAGGTGACGTTGCAAGTCGATCGTGTCAGAAACCGAAATGCTAACCATTGTTTTGAAAACAAACCAAAAGCAGTACAGGCCGAAGGTCGAAGTTAGCGTAAACGGTAAAAATGCTAACCATGTCTGTAATAGTGGAACATGCATGGTAACGATTGGCGAATTGTTTGTTTCCCCTTGTTCCTCGACTACAATGTTTCCTGGCTAAAACCCTATGATGATTATAACGTATGTCACCAGCACAGGCTTGCTTTGCAGCCCCTACTCTCCCTGCTGTTTTGTTATTGTATATTCTGTTGTCTTCTCCCCTTCTGACGAGTAGATTGTGTACTTAGTAAAAAATGTCGTTATTATCTACCTAGCTCGCTCGAAAATCTCCAACTTTTCAAGTGCATGGCATGCCCAGGAGGTCACCTTGAAGTTGAAGGTATCATGTCGTCACATTGGGATGCTGGATCATGGAACGTTCCCCGACAACAGACCAGCCATGCTGTCACAGTTAGGGCGGTTTGCCTTCAGAGCCTAGGCGCTAGGCGCAACTAATTACTTACTTGACAATTCTGCGTTCTTCTCGCTTTAGCTTTCGTTACTTGAAGTTGTCATCACTATAACCCCATACACATGACTTGTAGTAACATATTTGACTACAGTCAACTTCGCTTATAACGACACTCGGCGGGGCATCAAAAAGGTGTCCTTATTCGCGAAGTGTCCTTATACCCGAAGTCTCATTATAATTATGTATTACAATGGGATGGGACTTTGCTCTGGGCATGACAATTCTGTCGTTATTCGCGAATTGTCGTTATATCCGCAGTCGTTATTAGCGAAGTTGACTGTATATAGGAACCGAACGGCACGTTATTAATCATGGTAGTCTACTAGAGGTGGTGGTTGCACTCCTGTTGTGTTCACTGATGACTGATGTGTTTAGCTCACGGTGCGTCGGGTTGGCAAAGTGCTTCGGGTAGAACGTGATTGGCCTTCCAAACTCGAGATTATGGGTTCGAAACCCAGTTTGTGTGAAGATAATTTTCCACCACCAGGACTAGGTGTCCCATCTGGAATTGGAAACCTGACATCGATCCGAAAGGCAAAGACGATCACTACAGGGAGAGCTGGGAGTTGAGCACTGCCCTCCGCGCAATTATGTCGAGCTCATTCAACACAGGAAGTCTCTAACACATCCCGGCCTGCCCCAGATAATGGGCGACATTTACCCCAGCATCTTACCCTCAAATTCTAGATGGAGAGTTTCGAGTAAAAAAGACCGTTCTGCAATAATTATCGTGTATTGTCGCTACACCACTGCCAAGGACGTGAACTGTTACTTGGCACATCTTCTTGCGATGTCATGTGAAATAGATGCTTGTCAAACGCACTGTATCAGTTGCGTCCCTCCACGTTACAACTGGGGTTCAGCATGCAATGCCCGTGCAGGACTGCACAAAGCCAACACAATCAATTAATTATTTCCTTGGAAAGCTAAGCTATAGATCTGATTTGGTGATCCCGAGCTGGTTAGTAGTACAGTGTACATAATATTCGAAAGCAGTTTGCTGCATGCACGACCCATACCGGAACCTGTTTCTCTTCATTCACAGATATCCGTTGGCATGCATCCACTAGCCCGCACAGAGCAAGGTAATGAAAAGGAGAACGGAAAATAGTATAATACAACATTGCACTGATTCGCATACAGCGTGGGTCAAGAACCGCCTTTACGCTTCCGTAGGCTGGATAGGGAGGGGGGGGGGGGGAGATAGTATAAACTGCTTGTAAAACGTGGAAAACGACTTGGGGAGCAAAACCGCTCTGGCCCTGTGTGCAAGCTATCAATGAGTAGTGTATAAGAGGGTGATCCAGGTACAACTAACAAAAAAAGGATGTGAATTTTGAGAAAACGAAATTTCCCCAAATGGCATTACACTGAAAAAGGTCCGTATATGCTGGTACTGCACCTCTTCTACTGGCTAACACCGACGCTGGGCATTTGCTGGAGCATGCTTAGGTGCCTTGGCCTTCGTGTTTCTGTCTCAGAAGCTCACACACACACACACACACACACACATACACACACACACACACACACACACACACTCTCTCTCTCTCTCTCTGTGCGTGTCTCTGTCTCTGTCTGTGTGTCTGTATGTGTGTCTGTACGTCTGCCTCTCTGTCTCCCTCTCCCTAGTTATGGACAGATCATGCCAGCTTGGGAAGAAGGCGAATGGATGTTTCGCTGCTTAGTTCAGCACGAAAGCAAACTGGAAACAAACTTCTGTCAATGCTGATCGTCTCCGTCATGCCAGTACGCTCGTGTAGGGCAGTTGCTGTGTGCGCTGTGGTATCTAGTGTCAGATGAATGACGTCACCGTTCTTCCATGGCTGACCCAATGCACCACCGGTGGTGTACGACACGGTTTTAACACTTGATGACCATCCAGTGAACTTTGTCTTGTGATGCTGCCACTTACCGGAGTTACCGATGGGTGCACTAGTGCTTGCAAAGCCCAGGAAAGGCCCACCAGATACGATTTCCACATGGAACATAACTGGCGGATGTATGGCTGTAGCGCTGTACCACTGGTTTCCATCCAAATTGTAAGCCCGGGTAGCCACTTGGTTCATATTGGAAATGGTGACAGACTTTGAGTTTGCATCGGTATTAAAGTTGACGACTTGGCAAGCGGACAAATTCACTCCACCGTCCTTGTCACTGGCAGACGTTGCTTGGTGCAGCGAGGACCATTTTAGAAGCTTGGCACGCCGTTCCAGTTCAGGGTCAAACTTGAAGCCCAGCTTGTAGTCCGATGCGGCATCTCTGGGTTTCTTGTCACCGGATTTCTTTCCCTCTTGCACTTCATCGCACTTGTCCTCGTCTGCATCACTGGTGCTGCGGCCGAAGCTGGAAAGAGCTTGTAACGCATCAATATCTACGAGTTGTTTGCTGAGGTGAAGGGCAGCGTTGTATCGACGAAGCTCATCTTCTCTGCAGCTCTGGATCTCTTCCAATTGCTTGACAACGTTCCAACGTGCTCGGTCTAAGTCACGGCGTAACTCTTCACCTCTTCCCTCAATGATCTTCACAGCAGCTGCCACGTCAGCATTAATCTTGGCAGATATGCTCTCAGTCTCGGCGTTGATGGTGTCAATGCGGTCTTTGACTGCCTCGATCCCCTCCGACAAGCGACATACTTCTGGTTCATATCCTTCCTCCTGAAAATCTCTCAGATCTTTAGCAGCAGTGGCTATCTCAACAACTTCGTGATCTCTATGTGGAGCTTTCAGATCGTCTGGCTGGCATCTATCACACATCAACACATTGCATGACTTACAGTAGGATCCTAGATCTTCATTGTGCAGCACGCAGCGGCCACTAGCATGAGACCTACGGTTCAATGAAACGGCGGTCATCTCGTGGTCACGACGACTCTTTCTCCGTCGGTGAGCTACTGAGTGAATGCTGCAGAGCAGAAGATCGCACGTCAAGCAGTGCATTTCAGCAGGTTCGTCCACATCTTCGCAGTCCGAATCCTGGCAAAATAATGCCTCGCCTCTCGGCTCAGACGCATCTTGCTTATCGCTGTGTGGACTCACAGTCGATTGCTGGGTCGGCCAGCTAACTAGGCATTCGGTGAGTTTACGACCTGGGCCAGGGTCTGGTGTAACTATTTGACATCGAGCACAGCAAATAGTGTTGTTGTAGCTCAGAAACTGCTCTGCACAGGATTTGCACGATACGTGAAGACACTTGAGTATTTTCAATTGACTACCTGCTGCACCGGATTCGCCATCTCTATCGGACAGGCAAAACACGCATTTCCCATCGTCAGGAACAGCCCAGAAATCCGTTGCCACAGCCATTGCAGTACACCGCGTCGTGTGACTAGTGGCGAAATCTGCACTGCGCAAGTAAAGAAGTATTTCTCGTTCTCGACTTTAGTTTTAAGAAATAGTCATCACATGCACAAGTCATGCACACCCATCGTGTCATCCATATCCATGCAGTGATGCTAAAAATGATTTGAAGCCCTTTGAAAATGTTGTCAATCCAAATGCACTTGTCGGTTGTCCCGCAGCATCTGCACTGCACGCGGGACACATAACACTTACAGTAAAATAATTAGTTGCATGTGCATGTACATGTAGCACAATGTCATGTACAATGCCAATGGCATTGTCGGAATGGCGTTGACGGCACCGATATCACGGATATCGGCGTTGCCTAGCGCCTGTCGACATGATTGTTATCGACGTCATTAGCGTGCCCAGGGCCTACTGA